TCCTGCTGACCTCTTGTGGGGATGTATCCTCCGGCGGGACCATGGGGCCAGCAGCCAGGATCAGCAATTTTGTAATTTTGAAAAATTACAACAGGAGTAAGAAACAACGCTGCAGTTACTCCTAGAGCTGGGCGGAATACTTCACTGTGAAAGATTAAAGTAGATTGATCCGAAAGGCTTTTCCCTGGCGCTGCCCCAGCACCTCCCCCTTCAGCCCTGTGCCCGCTGCCAGGGTCAGATGCAACCCCCGGCCCTGGGCTTTTGCCCCTCGGGAGCTGCCAGCCCTGCTGCAGGCGTTCATTATCCACCCTCCTCATTACTGCCACTGTGGTGCCATGAGACACAAGAAAACACCCCGAGAAACCCTCCTCAGCCTCCTCTTCCTCTCGAGGCTCAGAGGAAGGCATATCCCAGCCCGTGCTCCTGGCGCAGGCAGCCGCAGAAAAAAGACTTGAGCCACAGTGCTATGGTGTTTTCGTGTTTATTAGCAACGCAGCCACTGCCTTGGGGCGTCCTGGCCGCTGAGCAGGGAAGTCGCTACCTTGCCTGGCACACCATCCCAGGTCAGAGCTGCCCCAAACCCGACAACTGTCACCCCCAGTCACTGGCCCCTCTTTAAACACCAGAGAGGTGTGGAAGGAAAGGCCCTGCCCAGGGCGGCTGCCTCTGGAAGGGCGCTGGGAAAGGTCTCGCCCTCCCGGAGCCATCAGGTGGCGGGCAGCAATGTGCAAGGCCTGGGGAGATGGTCCTTCCCTTGCAGCACTGGCTGCAGGAGGGCCCATCCCGCCCTTCACCTCCTCTTCACAAACTTCTTTGTCACGGCGTTGGGGTTCAGGCGCCTCCTGCCAGCGCCCAGGGCCGCATCCCGAATTTGCAGATTGGCTGCGCGGCTGTAGACGTCGTTTTCCGCAAAGGGGGAGACCCCGGCGATGTAGTCGGGGTCGAAGACGTTGGTCTTCTGCCTGGCCTTGCGGGACAGTCGCTGCTGAGGGAAGGGCTGGTCTTCCACCAGGTGAGGGTTGTTCGCGTGCTTCCCTCCTTTCGGGGCTGGCAGCGGGTACTGCCAAGAGAAAAGTGGTTGTTAAACTCACTTGAGGGGCAACTCTCGCTCAGAGGGACTTCCAAGATGACCGCAAGCCTCTGGAGAAGAACTGAGCAAATGAAGAACTGACCACAGACCAGGCCCATGTCCCAGCAGCAGCTGCCCAGCATGCGATGCACAGCTACTCACCCTGAGCCCTCGGGGGTTCAGGACCTTGGGGTTGCGGGAGAAATGCATGTGGAGGCTCCCGTCATCGCTGACGCTCACTGCGACCTTCTTCAGGGTCTTGTTGCCACAGTGGGGACAGAAAACCTTGGTCATGTCTGACGTGGTCCTGCAAGACAGTGACAGAAGGCGTTTACTGCTCCCTGGGCCATGGAATACAGGCTTAGCCCATGAGCACGATCATCCACCCAGCCCCAGCAAGCACCGCATGCCTGCGCCGGCCGAGGGCAGCGCCACTCTGTGCACACACACTCACTTGAAGCAGCCGTGGCAGCGGAGGATGTAGCTCCTGGCCTGGTGGATCAGCATGCCGTTCACCGCCAGCACGTGGAGGCCCATCTGCAGCAGCACGTTCTGCAATGAGGAGAGAGAAATCGGGATGCCGTGAGCTGGGGCTGCCAAGAGCTTTAACTGGGGTCTGCCAGCCCAGGCAGCGAGAGGCTGATGGAAGTGATGCCAACGAGCTTTGCAGAGGTCTCTGCTACGCGCAGAACTTGCTGCTTTTAAGATAAAAGGAGCTGTCACAACTCTGGTCTCATCCTGCCCCAGCGACTCAGCAGTGCACTCCTCTGTCTCAGTGTGCTGGTTTAACCAGCTTGGAGATTTGTGTAATTTGGGAATCGGCCCCTCAGCGCCCTCGTGCAGGCAGGGGAGATACAGTGCTCACATGGCATCGGCTGAACCTGAGGCTGGAGCTGGTCCCATGCAAGGCAGCAGCCAGCACCCACCTGCATGGCAAAGTCAGTGGTGACGCAGCCGACCTGGACACCGATGGGAGCAGTGTCACAGTGCCCTGTGTCCTGCTGGGCCTGCTTGAGGTTGCTGGGTGTTATCCAACCCTCGTTGTCACTCTCCTCTTCATCCTCCTCTTCCTCAGCACTGGCCCCATCCTCAGAACTCTGGTGCTCCTCAGTGGTCTCCGGGCTAACGGAAATGGCTTGATCTTTCTGGGGTGGAGAAGACAGTCAGCTATGGCACACACAGCGCTCCTGGTACAGTCCAGCACTGTGCAGAGGAGTCAGAAACCAGGGGAGCAAGGACAGTGAGGAGAGAAGGCTCCGGGTCTCACCAGCAGCTCCTGCAGCTCGTCCTCAATGCTGGGCAGGGGGGCTCGCCAGTAGAGGAAGGAGCTGAACTCATCACTCTCAGACGGGACCGTGCTCCTTTCGGGGCTGGGCTGATGCTGGCCTTTCCCTGGGCGCTTGTGCTGTAGGGTGACACGGGACAGGGGGTCTCTTGCCCGCCGCTGCCCGCAAGCGC